AATTGTTTTGTATACTAATTACGAGAGGTCTTTCCTGTTTGTTATCACTAGAAAACTCACAACAAGTCTACCGTTAAAATGTACAAGGGATTGTTTTGTTTCTTTAATGAAGAGGGGGCAAACAAGCAGACGGGTCACCTGATGGAAAGTGACTACCGCCGCCCATGACCGCACTCAACTTAAGAGTAGCTGGCGTTGCCAAACTTTATTTACTATTTGTACTCGTTAACCTCTTAAATTGAGGTGAATGGGTTTACCTAGCGGAGGGCGTTCGGCTGCGGTGGACTAAATATGTTTTAACCACTACACCAAATCTTTTCAATTTGTTGTATCATATATATCTTTACCTTTTAAATTACCTGTAATTGCATTTTCAGGATACACACAATAGACAACAACACAATAGGCTTTGTATTCCCTTCTTTTATAACTAGCCGATTCCCGCCGTGTCACTGCGTTTATTGTCACTTTTCCGTCTTAAAAGGCATAGCTTAATTTTCTATAGCTATTGAACATTGGCTTTTAATTTTTCTTGCCCGGCAAGCTCTTAAAACCGATACGCTTTCTTTATCATAGGAGAAACACTTGTAAAACAATAACTTGTAAATTTACAGAAATCCTAAATTATTGTGCTGTATTACAATTTTACTAGAAATCTCTTTACCTCATTTTACTATTTGGAAATCTACTAAAAGTGTAGGTGAGTAAATCAGATAAGCAATCTTGTTATGATAACCGAAACAAAGGCACAGACATTCAGACAATAAAATAATAATTGTTTTTAGTTAATCTTGCCCGTTGTAACTTAAGATAATAAAGGTAAATAATTTTATGAATTATTCTAAAAATATTGTTAGGTGCATAGTTAATATAATAACATTATGTTAAAGTGTAAAAGTTTTATAACTATAGATTTAATTGGTCAGAAAAAGGGTAACGATACGTCAAAGTTCGAAGTTCGGAGTCACCGTACTTGGTTAAGATTAGGATTTAACAATAATTAAAATTTGTATGCCTATGGGTACAATGTAGCGACCTATTTTAAATAATATATGCAACATCTAACATTAATTTCACATACATTTACAAATAAATATTAATATTTCTATTGGTTCGTGTCGTTTCATATAGCCCGTAGTTCCAGTGGAATAATATATAACACTAATTCCTCCCTACTCAAAATATGTTTTCTATATTTATTATAATTAGGTATATTTTAGGTAATCTAGACTAGGTATTAATCTCTTTATTTTCTATTGTTAACTAAGTATAAAGGTAGATACAATATTCTTTATGTTAATGTGTAAAAACTGAAAATTAAAATTATTTATATATATTTTATTTATATAATACCTACGTACACTGCACCTCTACTGAGTTGTCATATTAATGCGTGAGACACACCTACGGAGCGCGCTGTGTGCGCCCAGCTTGCCTCTATTTCTGACCGATGTTAATGACTTCATACAGATAGTCGCCAGTTGACATTTAGGTCAATCTATTACGATCTAATGTTGTTTTTCTTTTTAAACATCACAGCCCCGAGGTTAAAACCCGCAAGTATATTTACTCGTATGTCAAAGTCAACATTTTCCTCTATTATTGGAAATAAGCAGTAACATTCTAATATAGTTCACCAGAAGAAGTATTCAAGAGAGATTTGGATTTATTTAAATGTTGGTCTTGTAACTTATTACTTGCTATGATGACGTGAGTTTTATTGTTTACATTACGATTGTACTACTGTAAAATTAAGGTGACTCAAAGTGCCTCTACTCTAATTAATTTTATAAAAATAAATTTGAACATATTTATTGATGAACTGTTTGATGGATCTGAAATCTCGGTGTACATGAGTGCTGTCCTACTAATATTGCTCACTAGCCACCGTTTAAGGAGGCCGTTACTTGCATTTTACATTGATAGATTACTTAATCCTTACATTTTATCATTAGACACAAAGCAAAAATCATGATTAACTAAAAAGGTTTCTAACAATAATTATGATATTTATTCTTGCATTTATAGTAGCAGTATGTTATTGAGTGATCAAATATTGTAAACATCTAAACATTTCGTTTATTAAGAAGAGTATCACGTTGCTTAAGAAGAGCATATGAGCTATATGAGTAATCGAATCAAATAACTACCAAGTACATTTCTATGATGATTTGTACTATAGTTTATTTAAACACAAGAAATAATTTTAAAGTTTCATATTTGTAGAGCACATATTTATGTGGAAAATATTTATTGGGTAATAGACAAACATTGTTGTTTTCTCCCACACTTCAGCGAAATAGTTTACCCAGTTAATCTTTCCTTTGGAGTCGGTATTAGACGAAGCTAATATTTGACGTTTACTTTCAGTTTGTTTATCCAGCTAAGATGTACCTACTAAACAGTAGTTTTGTATAATTTCTGGCAGAAAACACTGTTCTGCGACATATAACACATTATTTAGCAAAACCAAACTACGCAGAGACTTCACTTTCTAAAAACTGGGCATCATCATCATCAACATCACGACCATCCTCCGGCTTAGCAGTTAGGGTCACTCAGCACTAGAACAATAGGCCCCTTCAATTATATTTATGTATATATAACATATGTTCAGAGCTCTAATCGAAATCGGGACCCCTGACGTTGCAATCGAGTACTACAACGCCTCCGTTACGTGGATGTTACTTGCGCTGACTGGTCGAGAGTTCCATAAATGAGAACTTGACCCTGTAGGAGGTTTATGATCAGTAAAAAAATAATGTAGGTATCACATATTTGTACCTCATACTGTATTTAATTTAGTAGCAATGACACAGCTTCTTTCTTTTCTGAGAGTTCAGTTTCTGAAAATAGAACACTATCAGTGTGACTAAGTCCTTATCTAGTAAGGTAACAAAAAACGTATGAAATGCTCACGTTGATTCCAATAATAATCTTTCAAACAAGACTAGAACATAAACGCTCTATAAAAATCGACCCACGTCAATAAATACCGAATAATCATGCAGTCATCAAATTGTCATAAGCTAATTTGGCGCAAACGAGGTTATTATAAGTACATTATAATATTATACATTCATAATACTAATATTCTAATTTCGAAAACAAAATTAAATCATATTATTTCTAATTGGTTTACAGACATTATCTTATCACTAATGTTTTCGTATTTTTACTTTGCTATTGCTGACTTGGTACGATCTTGGATGTAGTTCCTTTTAATTTTTTAGTGGCACAGTAAAAGTTTCGTGAATAAACTATATAATTCATTAAAATTCAATTTGTTAGTCGGCTTTGTGGACAACCCAATGGTTGCTCTCAGGCAATGGAATATACTCGTATATGAACGCTTATCACCGAAAGAACTTTCATTGCGTGATTCAGTATCAGTACATAAAACTTAGTTTATGCGACGACCGCTAATAGCTAGTGCTGGCCATCAGGGTCATAAGGGGATGCCGCACGATCTCCTTTGAGGCGGCGAGTCTCCTGAACTGAACTCCACCGTGGGACCTAGAGGGGAGAGCCTATGCGGCTCTGTATCAGTGGCGCAAGGAAGCGCGGGAGTTAAGTCGGAGTCCTGAGACTTGTGAAATCAAGGACTAAAAATCCCAACTCGGCCAGGTCCTCGTTGAGGAGTGGAAGGAACGACTTGGGCAGCCGAGCGCCGGGCACGCCGTTATCGCGGCGGTAAGACCCGCTATGGACGATTGGCTCGAGAGGCATCACGGGACCCTCTCATACCGGCTGACGCAGGTGATCACCTGGAAAAGATGCTTCGGGGATCACCTGTGTCTGATCCGCAAGGAGCCAACGCCTGAGTGCCACCACTACGATGGCAGGACCGTGGATACGGCGCTCCATACGCTGGCAGAATGCCCGTTGTGGGAAAAGCAGAGGCGTGGCAGCCATCGGAGTGGGAGTTCTGTCGCTCGGTAACATGATTGCGGCCATGGTACGGAGCGAGAGTGCTAGATGACCCTAGGTGTTTTTGCCATAATTGGATGACGCCACACTATGGTGTGTACCATTCAGTATTCAGAAAAATAATAAAACATCTACATATAGTATAATGGTACCAGTATAATGGTAATATCAATTAGAATACCAACAGTTTATCTGTTGAATAATAATAAAAACCTGTGGTAAGCGCTGGTAAATGTGAGACGCCAGGTCAATCGATGGCGTGTCTTATTAAATATGCATTCTATAATGGAGTACTTCATCGATCATTGTTCGCTCTCGACCTGACATTTTATAAGTAGAAAAATAAGTTTGTTATGTTTTTATATTTATGTACTTTGGTGTACGATAAGACACATATTTACTATTCGTTGCTAAAATTAATTTATTCTGTCACCGTATGCGTAAACACCATTGATTCATTCTTAGTTTCTTTCTTAAAAACAACTAAAAAAACCAAATTATAAGAAAAACATTTCGTAAACAATCATAAAATCACGTAGTTTGAAAGAATTCGAATTAACTTTTATATAGTCTTCTTGCCTTTTAAACATTAAAAAACGTCTTTTTCAGGTAAACGTCTAAGACACTCGGTCGTTGGAGACCTCACTGTGCTGGAGATTCTCGTGTAATTACTATAACATAACCATAAAAAATGTAATCAGACACCTCTTTATAGTCCCATTTGCTTTTAACGATGATTTGGCCTTTGTACTTAATTAATGACCGTTTTGCATCGTTACTTTGTAAGTCTATCTTCTTTCACTAGTTCTTAAATTGCATTATTTTTCAAAACTTAAGACTTTCTCTACGTGGATTCACTTTGCTTTAGGTCTTTAAATATGAAGTCTGTAACCACTGCTTCCTTATTAGTCGCAATTTATTATTTCTACCGTACGTATCCTCATAAATTTTATAAACAATGCCATTTTATCATTTGTACTTATAACTGATTAAATACCTATGCAAAGTAATAATGCTACGGGAAGACTGCACGATGTTACGTGACAACATAATCGCTTTAAAACGTGAACATGCTTAGGCAGGCAATATACCCATGGACTCTGGAAAGTGGTAAATTAAATCGTGCTAAATATTACAGACCCCGATACAGTCCAGATTTCTTGATCGTTTTTTGTGGGACGTCGCTAGATCTTTTCGCTCGTCTTTTCGTCGCTTTTAGATCGGAGAGAAGCCTTTCGTATTTCGGTTTTATACGGTTCAACGTCCTTGATATTGTCCAATATAGATCTAAGTTCTGTTTAATAGAATTAAAGAGAAATTTTGCAATAAAATTGTATTGGTTTATAAAGAAATATTTTCTGTTTCATTGTTTTGTTGTGCATTTTAATAACTACTCGTAAGATAAAACCAGAATGAAATCGAAAGTTGGTAACAAAGTATTTTTTTAATGTATGAAGAGTATTGCATAAACCTTTACATAGGTACTGTAAAGAGATGCCTCTACTGTCACTTCCAGTCCAGCTTGTATGTTTTCTAAAAGTTTTACATTACTTTATTTTCAGTTAATGATGTTGCAAATGCTCAAAATCCAGATTACCCGAACAGATATTTCGTACCAATTAAATTTGATTATGCAGTACGAGGAGCATATAACGTCTCAGAATGTTTGGAGGAATTGCTCACTTGTTGGGAACTGATCAGGTAAGTAAAAATTGGCTGGTTAATCTAAAGTTTTCGAAGCATAGCGTTTCGAAAACTATTCTTTTTTAAGACAACGATCGCAGTAGGAATATATCCTGTATCCCGGGGAACTTTACGAACATATATTCATATATACGGCTACCTCGCTGCTTCCTGCTGCAATGAGTGTTGCGGGTTCGATCCCTACATGTTACAACACTGTGTGATCCACAAATTGTTGTTCTGAGTCTGGATGTTCTTTGTATCCATTTCATGTTAGTCTGTGAAATTATCCGCCGACGCAGGATATATTCCTAGTGCGGGAGTTGTCTTTAAAAAAAAAACTGTTTTATATTATTTATGTTTAACGTTTAAAAGCTGAATATGTTAATTGTTGGCAGGCCTTTGTATATGTGTACTCAGTTCAGAATGAAAGACTCACTTTGTTCGAACATGAGGGAGTATTGCCACGATGAACACGGAGATTTTCCCGGTAAGCTTAATATTAAATCAAGTACACCCTATCAAATAACAATAGATGTCAATATAAGGTAAGTATACAATTGTACTCTCCTGGTGTTTTTGCATTTTCTGCAAACTAAAAATTCATTAAATCTCTTATTTAGAGCATTCAAATTTCAAGTGTGCTGTATTGCTTCATGAGGCTCAGATTAGTTTTGAATGTAAATGAACTTTGTCATATAATATTAGTGTGTGAGGACATGCCTTATTTTGAACCTAATTTTTAACTATTTTTAATTGCTTTCTGAACCATGCAATCTATAATAAAATGTTGTCACGGACTAATTTGGTCAAACTTAATCTATAAGTTTTTAATATTAATTTAACCTTTTCAGGATCTACCTTTTGAAAGTTAATAAATAATAATAATAATAATAAATAATCTCTTTTATCAGGGGGCAACAAGGTGCGAGCCTGCAATGGTTGGGTCATGCCGGTTCTGATGTATTCCTTTGGTATACTTAGATGCACTTGACAAGAAAGTCCGTACACTGCTGACTGCATCCCGAATGCACCACCCACGTTCATCGGTTATGAGATTGTATATCCCGCGAAAGCTTGGGGGTCGCGGACTATTAAATATCAAGACCCTACATAATCGCGAGATATGCAATCTCAGATAATATTTTCTACATACTGATGTGGGAGTGCATCGCAATGTAGTTGCTGTGGATACCGGATTCGCCCCGCTCGCTTTGGCTAAGGAGAATTGGCGCAAACCTACTTACGTACTTAGTGTTATCATCTGTACATCTGTCGGGCATGCCACCGTCCTGGCGAATCAATCAGGCATATTATTTCTGGTTGTACTCGTCTTGCTAACGGTGAAAATTTTGCACAGGCACAACCAAGTAGCCAGGATCGTACACCAATAGCTTGCCCTTAAATACATTCTTGTGAATCTAAAGGTGCCATACTACAGGTAAGTGCCCGACCCAGTTCTCGAGAACGGTCGGGCCACGTTATATTGGGATTGATCTATTATCACAGACAGGACTATTGTTGCCAATAAGCCAGATATTGTGGTGATAGATCGATTAGAGCGCCGCGCAATGATTGTTGATATCGCCGTTCCTCATGAGGAGAATCCCGTGAAAGTTGAAAAACAAAAACAAATCAAATATTTGGATTTATCTCACGAGATTGTCGATATGGGGAATGTTGATTCAGTGATCATTGTTCCGATAGCCGTATCTGCTCACGGATTGATAGCCAAGAGCCTCGACCAACACCTTAAGACGCTCACGTTGGACGGCTGGATCAAGGGTCTGATGCAGAAGGCAGTGCTCCTTGACACGGCTCGTCTAGTGAGGAGGTTCCTATTTTTGCAGTCCTAACCACCGGTGTCTTGGTCCCTGTACGCGATGTCGATGGTCTACTATTTTTTATATTTTTGAATATATATTTTTTAATATTTTTTTAAAAGTGTACATTCAAAAATGTAAATAATATGTATATAAAGTAAACCAAGAGAATAATAATAATAAATTTATTTCCAAAACAATTATACATAGAAATTTACAGTACATGTTAGTTACAGGACAATTTTATCGGTCGTCGGTAATATCGAAATATCCATCTTCAATTAGTGAAAAACCCTGCCTTTTAAACTAGGTAACATCTGTATCTTAAAAGACTGTGTTCGGCCATACATTTATACAATATTAGATAAAACTTTGCTAATGCAGAACAGTTGTTATGCATGATATGGTACTATGAAGTGAATGAGTGTGTGTGTGTGTGTATGCATGAGTGTGTGCGTGCGTGTGAGTGTGTGCGTGCGTGTGCGTGTGTGTGTGCGTGTGTGTATTCAATCAAGACGAGCATTAATGTTTGTATGTTCATTTCGAGTAAGTATATTGAGTTCTTTGTGTATTTTTTTGTAAATGTGCGTGCTTAAATGATTGATATATGTTTTAATTTATTTATTACCCATACGTTTTGATAATTGAATAAGTTTGTATATATGCATCAAATCTTGTAATAATTTCAGTTTTCTTTTCAGTTTCGTGGTTCCGTTTCGATTTATCAGAGCATATTTGTATGGACGCCGCTTCTAACTATGAATCATAGATTACGCAATAAGTACCCTTCAATATGAAACGGGGATTACTGCCAAAGTGTGCTAAAATAAGTATAGCGTAAATTTAAATACTGAGGAAATAAGTTTCAATTATTTTTTTAAAGTACATAGTAGTGTTTTTTTTTCTTTAAAAAAGACAAACTCCGCAATAGGAAAACATCCTGGGTAGCTGGGGCTTTACAAACATAAGTTAAACGGACACAAAGAACAACAATTCGTGGATCACACAAAGGGGTGTCCCGTGTGGGGATCGAACCCACAACACTCAGCGCAGTTCATACTGTGCAACCGCTTAAACCGCTACGTGCAGTCGAAGATGATGTCATTCCATTGGCCGTAGTTGCTAATGTGACTCTGTAGTGTGTACATGTATAGGTAAATAGCAAATGGACTGATACGAGACACTCGAAGCTTTGAAATATCATGTAATTTTTCTTTCACCAAACTTCAAAGCACCCCATTACTCTAAATCTGAGGGAATTACTGTTAGGAAAAATAGCACATGCATAATTTAATGATAAGCATTTCTTACCGTCACAGAGGTAGTTTTGCATTTCACTTTTAAATAAACCAATTTATGACAGTGATTGAGAAAAAAATTTAAGTAAACCATAAAAAGGAATCAAATTAAATTCATTATTAGTAAGACATACAATGTAGTATGGATTAGTATTAAAAATACAAATGTTACGTGCACTAGACAAAAGGTCGGCTCGTAATATTGTTTAGAAGTCATTGAATAATCTAACGAGAAACTAACAAAGTTAATTGATTCTAAGCACGTCCGAACGGCTGACATTGTGTATATTTATGCCAAACATGCCTGAAGTTACCGCATCGGGTATATGAAGCCTCTGAGCCTCTAAAATAATCACCTTTCACGTTACGTGGATGACCTACTCATGGTAAATATTATACATATCAACATAACCAATTTGTAAATTGTAAAACATTCATAAGTCCAACTATCGCTTGAAGTAGGACAGATGTGTATAAATACACATATCAAGATTTCAGAAAATATAATTTTGCACTTGGCTATAGTAATAAATAAAATTAAAAAATAAATCTTAAATCTTTTAATTCTTAGCAAGTAAGAGCTCTTGGGAAAAGGTAAAAGATTTATAACAAAGGTCAAAAGACTGCACGTACAACATGATTTGATTGAAAGGAATAGTAGTCCGGCTCCTACTATTCCTTTTTTATGAGAATTTTCTGGTGGTACTAATTATGGTACTAAATTTATAGCACTAAAGTGGCATAATATGTTTCATAATTCTTGCTATAACTGTTTGGCACTAGTAAGTTGTGCAATTACCTATATTTAGAAGTGTTATTTTTCTAACATTCTAAAAAATCTATTACTACACGGAATCTTGTATTTACCTATCTCTTATTTCTGTGTTCAATTTTCAAGGTATATTTTGTACAATTAATATATATGTAATAATGTATGTATGTGTTTAGTGTATATATTTATATAAGTTTGTATATAATAATAGTCTTAATTACAACATACTCAGAAAACTCCAATCTATTCTCCTCCTCCATCCATAAAGAGTTATCTATCTATAACAAGCTGTATATAAAAAACTATCAAGAGGCAGAACAAGCGTTGTGTTTGGCATTTAGCATGTGTATATGTAGTTGTAACAAACAATATGGAAGGTGTATTATACAGCCTAAATCAAATCTACAAACGAAATGTTATGCAGTATTTAAAGAAATCGATTTAATAGAATATAAATAGAAATATCATCAAATTTGAGAATAAACAAACGGTTTCTGTAGTATTGGTATGAATTCATGTTTAAATATAAACAGTCTTATTAGGTCATCGTGAAAATAGTTTATTATAGGTTATAGCGTATATCTATTATTATATCTCCATATACTTATATGAATAATAGAGATTCAAGCTGTCAGCTCACTAAAATTCACCAAGTTCATCGTCAACTGTAAATTTTAATTAATTAATATTCAAATCACTTAAATGGTTTAGGCAGATTTTTCATTATGACCAGTATTTAGACGTAGGCATTCTTTACGGATTTTAATTAATTTAAGTAGTTACTAAATGTATTGTCAAATTTTCTAAATCTGCATTGAAAAAAAAAGTAGTAACAAATGTATTAACAAAACAAATAGGCCGCTTGAAGATAACTTTAAATAGCTAAATCGACAAAAATAGTCTAAAAAAGGATACATTACATTGGAGACATTATTGGAATTTAACTGGATTTACAACTTTATTAAAAAATATTTTTAATATAATTTATATATTAAGGACCTCTTTTTCTAGGTACATATTCTTAATTCTGTGCGGTCATACGATCTATGGCCCTCTACGGAGAGCCGATATGGGGCAAGAGCCTATCGGTGTCCTTTAGCTGCCGAGATAAGCTCAAGCAAGTGCAGTAGGTAGCGGCCATTCGGACCTGTTCCCGTTCCCTCTACCTGAACTCTCTTATTCTATCCTCGTTCCTCGTGCCAATAAACCTTCTTCCATCATCCCGTCTGAAATAGACTACATTACTAATTCCCATTGTATATTTTTTTCATACGTGTTATCCTGTAGGTGGTCGGTGTTTACACGACCTTTTAACATTATGTACGAAAAACGTATGGGGAAGTCAACGATACGCATCGGTAAAGTAAACTGTAAAAAGTCATACTAGCGGTACTAAATTTATGCAATGCCGTTTTAAAGCTATTCGAATGAATGATACTACGCTTCAAACCCACGGATGGTTCAGTGGGTTACTCACCCCGACAGTGAATCTGTCAGCTGAATCTGCTTGAGTTCTCCGGAATTACTTACCTGGGGTATTTGGTACGCGTGATGTTACTTTGTCATACAAAGTTTTTACAAATACAACTACTACTTACTACATCTAAATTTGACTGTTTAAAGGCCTATTAGTATTAATACACAGCATTACCCTCTTATTTTAATGAGGGTTTAAGTGCTTAAGAAGAGCAGTGGCACGCGTTAGTGGGCAAAAATTTGCTGCGCCAGATCTGTGCAACAGCTCCAATGTAAATATTCCAAAATCTGCTTCGTCGGTTCCTAGGTTTTGATAAAAAAATTGACTTTATAAATCTTTACGTGTTCAAATTATATATTTGTAATGAAGGTTATATTTTCTAACTTCATTTTATTTTTGTTGTATATTTAATGTCAAAAACATTCTATATCCTCAATTAATAATACATGGAAAAGTTTACTTAACTGCACAAGCAGTACTATGATACAATTTATAGTTATTAGGTATAAAAAATTTCACCTTGTCTATATAATACCGTTCGTGACCTTAAACACGATATGTACCTACATATAGAACATGTAGGTATACATATTTCAATATTTTTTTACTTTTAATTACTGTAAATGCCCTTGTTCTAAACTAAAGACATGTGTAGGTATATTATACCTTACCTACTAATAAAGATCACTTTTTTTTAAATGGAGCAATAGGAATGGATTTTTTAAAGTTTAATGATAACATAACACTTCACAAAAGTAATGCCATATTCTATTACAATACATATTTAATTGTACACAATATTCGCAGGTTCAGAATTAAGCATTATAGCGGTACACTCGTACTTGACCGGTATTTTTTCAATCTGTGTCAATAAAACGCACATCAATTTAAACAGCTTTAATAATATGAAACGGGCTTCATTGCTAAACGTACTAGAACAATATTCATGGCGGTCAGTAGGTACAGCAATTGAAAACTGTTTCGTATAATTTACAAGGAGCATAAACTATATAGACTATAAAGTTCGGGAAGTTACTGACAGCTCATCACCGTATAAAACGAATGTTCATCATCATTTTCCTTAATAATAGATAGAACATGAATTTTAGTAATTTGTGATACAAATTACAAGTATTATCAACAAAAAGGGTTTTACAATATACACTTGTTATTAAAAAAAAAAAAATTCTATTCGTTGTTTCAAAGGACACGCAAGCTACATTTTACTTTTAATACCTAGTTAAGGTGCACGAAGAACGTTTGTAAAGATACGTTATATTTATGTCAGTTTGCTACTGTTATAACAACAGGCGCTGTAAAACGTCGACCACTGTTAATGAACCTCCGTGCGTCATACTAGATTAAAAACGGATTCATAAGATCTTTAGTTTGTTCTTTGAAAAAAAATATTTCACCCTTGAAATTCTTAAAATGAATAAACAACATTATTCACAACAAACATTACATTTTACATCTAAAGATTTTCGATAAAACTGGCTATTAAATGAGTACAAAAACCTTATAACGGTCAAAAAGATATGAAACTAATTTATGTACTTTAATAAGAGCGTTAAATACTTAAAAGTACATTAAATATGTTAATATTTACTTAGCAACGGGTAATCTATTTAATTTTGTTAAAAAAAAACCATTAAAAAATCTTCATACTTGAGGTTGTGACGGCTATATTTCGTTTTCGATTCTAATGGCTGCCCAAGCGTGACCGCGAAGGAAGTCAGTATACAGCGGTTGCTAAAAAGTAATCTTGACCTTACTTTCTTGATACCAGTAATATTAACATGTATTTCTATGGCAACGCAAGCCCAAACATATTAATTCAAAGCTATTTATTTAGTTGTAGTGCTATTTTTATCACGAGGATACATTTTTCTACCCGGTATGGTATGATGTAATTATTACGAATAAGTATGTTATAATATTTTATAGTTACCGTATTACTTAAATCATCTATATATTTTTTTATAAATAAATAGAATGACGGGGCTGAAGTTACAGTTCATTTTAGTTTTCCTTTGCTTCTTGGACCGAACACTGTTCCTAATTAGAATTTTGTGTTTGAATTTAAGTCCTTTTTACACGCTTTATGTTTGTTTGTATGTTTGTAACCGACTCCTTTGGGCGTGATTTTGACTGACTTTGCCTGTTGTCAATAGTTAAAATCACCCCACGCTTTTTTCAAATTTATTTTCAATTTTTTAGCG